ACCAAGGACTAGCCATTAGTTTTCCCCATGGCTTCGATCCAGTCTAGTAACTCGTTTAATAGTGAGAGATCTATCGGGTCCATGATCCGGGAGTGCTCGGGGTCGATTTGCGGTACTGCCGCTCCGGTGGCGTTCGAGATCGCGTCGCAGCAGTGTCCGACAGAGGCTAGCTCCGGGCTATCGGGGGTGGAGATTGGATCCGTGCTCAAGGCCGGATTTGAGGTGGTGGTCGCCCCAGTGGCGGGGTACACCATGCCCGAAGTTAAAGCCTCGGGGTTCACGGGCTCTTTAGGCGAGTTTGAGAACCTTGTTAGAATAATATCTCCCCGGGAGTCAGCGTCGAACTCTAGGTTTCCAAACCTGATCTCCTGGTCGGGGCCGAAGCTGCCGACCCGGCCAAGGTGGTCGGTCGGACTGGCGTGCAGCACTCTGCTGCCAAATGCGAAAAGTTGCCTGGGAACGAATCGTCCCATTGTAGATCCCGTCGCTGATGACTAAGCAAGCCATTGATCCTTCGACGCTTCACATCAGAACTCTCAACGAAAGCACCAATGTCGGTGTCAAAACCGGCAGATCTCGGGTAGGGGGTCCCGAGCTGTAGATCTTGGATCGATGGGTAACAAGGAACAGAGAGACATTATTTACCCAGGTTCGCGCCCTCTCGAAGAGGTAAAACCCTACATCATGCTTGGTTATATTGATGTGTTTGTATGATGATTACAGAGTTGATCTACCACGAGATCAGATGAACTAAACCCTAGTGGAGTAGGATGATGGTTCTAACCTCTCCGGACTAAACCCTCTGGTTTATATAGACACCATGGATACCTAGGGTTACACAGGTCAGTTACCAACAAGGAATAAACACGAGTCTCCGGAGGTTTCCTTCTAGAGCACGGGATCGTCTGAAGTCCAGTCTTCCCCTGACGAATAGTAAGTAACCCACTAGTCCGGCCCATGAGAAATAGGCTGGCAGCCCGAGGACCCCTTAGTCCAGGACACCCTCATTGAGTTTGTGGCCAGGTGATGGAACTGGAGCCCATAGAAAAACATGAGACCCCGAAGAAAGGGGTGGAGAGGGAAGCTCAGACCTTCGATGAGGTGGGAAATGAAAACCACCTGCTCCCGCTGTTGAGGAGCAGGGATAACGGAGGCCGAGCAGACCTCATCCTTACCCATGGGGGATTGGCACGTAACCACCCCGTGGGGTGGAAGATAACCACCAACCTGGAGCTTGGCGATGGTTCCAGCGATGACAGTGGAGGGCATCCATTGCCCTATCTTGTTGGCTGTCTTCTCCTCGGACACCGGGGCGATGATGCCTTTTCCCTTGCCAACCATCTTTTCGAAGTGGAGAAAGGGAGAAGAGTGAAAGGAGCGAGGGTGGAGCTTGAAAAGCATATCTCAGGGCGCTTGAGCTTGGAAGCATTCTTGGCGATGGAGTAGGAATGAGAGCGTGGGGTGGATTAGGTTCATTTCCCTTTTATAGATCAGTAAAAGACCAAGGGACACCACGTCATGCAGTAAAATTCGCCAGTTCCCGATACAGCGTGCAATATATGCACACGAGGATTAAGGGATTTCGTTAATGATTTTGCCAAAAATCCAGAGAATAATCTCTTCATCGATGGGACGTGCCATTAGAAACGGCCTCGAGCCATGATATATGCAGGGTAATGGCTATTGATGAGATGGTTTGGTTCCACAGTGGAAGGTGACGATTTGGTTTTTGATCGAAAGTTGTCAGGGCCCAACCAGACCTACTATGCCCATGTGGCAAGTCTTCGTGGTTAAGCTAGGGGAGTCTTCAGACCCAATAAAAATAAGTTGTACAGAAGAAGGTCCATGTTAAAAGATCCTCCTTGCCCGAAATAAATTGCTTTGCAAATTTACGCATGGCCACAATCGGAGGAGCAAAGGATGGAATATAAAATGGACTTTGGACCCAATGTGTCCTCGGATCTAGAAGCCGACGTGGAGGATGAAACTCGCCTACGAAGCCAAAGTCCAGAAGATGAGGCTATCCCGACGAAGGAACCAATGTCCTCGGCTTGAAGGGCAGTTCAGGGGCTATTGACGGTGTCCTGGATTAGGGGGTTCTCACCAAGTCGGTCTGCCATTCATGGGACGGGCCGAGGATCCACCGACTATTGAAGAGTGGGCCACGCAAGCCATGACCCTCGGTGTACTCAAGATGGAATCCTCCGAAGACTTAGCGTATACTTCAAGGCATATTTAAATGATCGTCATGTTTATCCAGAGTTGTAGCTGACATACTTGTAACCCTAGATATCCCCTTGTGCCTATATAAGCTGAGGGGTTTTAGTCTGTAGGGGCAAGTTAGATACAACCATATGATCTCGAGGTAGATCATCTTATACTTTATACTCCATCCACAAAATATAAACAAGAGCAAGAGTAGGGTATTACCTCTTCGAGAGGGCTCGAACATGGGTAAACATTGTGACCTTTTCTCTCGTGTTACCAACAAGCCAAGACCACCAGCTCGGGACCCCCTACCTGAGATATGTCGGTTTTAGCACCGATAGAGGGTACTTTACTGCGAAATGATTCCTGGGTGGACAACAACGTTGTCCGAGGTGCGTGGGTGGGGTCTACGGACGTCCGAGGATGCCTGGGCAGCACCCGAAGAGGTACAACGGCGACGACGGACGAGGAGGGTACATATGAAAGGAAGGGGAAGCAGGCCCGGAGTACAAGAAAGGGTGACCGGGAGAGGGATTTGAGTAGGTCGGGGGT